ATATAACAATAAAATAAAGATTTGGTGCTGGGGATGTAGCTCAGTGGCACAGTGTCTGCCTGGCAAGTTCAAGGCCATAAGTTTGATTCCGGGTACAAAAAAAAAAATTTCATTTTGAGAGTGTGAAACTTACTATAGCCAAGTGGTGCATGAAATGAAATGTGTCGGAATGCAAATCTGTTGCAGTATAGACACTGTTCTTTAAGTTACATTTTCTATTGTAAAATTTCTTTCATATTAGAAACTGGTTTGAACCTTTTTTGCAAGGAGTATGTTAATTGATGTAATACTTCTTTATTATCTTTGCGCCAGAAATTTTAATTAAGGCACAGCCAGAAGTCTCTGTAAATGCAAGATTATTCTAAGATTTGAAAATTCCTGTTTTTATATCTGTACCTTTGCTTTGATATGGTGGAATGTGTGTGTGTGTGTGTGTACACCTATGCGCTTTGTGTATGAATAGTTATAAATTTATTGAAATATGTATGTACTATATGTATGTTAAACATACATTCTTATATATTTGAAACAATGCAGAGTTTGTATGCAGAGAGGGAGTATCTTAAATTTTTACAAATATATAAGTAATACATGCAGAAGTCCCTTGTGTGATGGAGTGAGTGACTGATTCTGAAGTCCAAACATCGAGGTTGTGAGCAGTAACCATACTTGCTTGAATTTGTTTTTAGCACAATCTTGTCACGTCAAAATGAAGAAGCTACCTTTCATGACTTCCAACATCTGCTTTAGGACTTCAAAATCCATGGAGTCAGTGACTCTAATGGAATGTTCAGTCTAATTCTGGTGTAGTTTTTGCCAGAATTAGTTAAAAAAAAAAGGCAAGTTATATGTTCAAAAAAGTTCATTGTTAATATAACATGACTGCATATTGATTTCTTTGTGTGAGCTCTTCTGTGTGGGGACCGATTTGCATTTTAGGGAGCAGCTAGATAGTTCTAGCAGTGGTCTAAATCATTTGAATCTGAACTTCAACCTTGTGGTTAGTTTGATTTTTCTCTTTAATATACTGTTTTTGGAAAGACATCTTTAATTTTCCTGGATTTTGTAGTTCCTTGGACATAGCAGATACTCCATAAATATTTATTGAATGGAATTGAATTTGACTTGCTGGAAATCATAGTCCTGGTGTAAGGTTTTTCATTTTCAGCAGAAGGTGTTACAAATTACAGGACTTACTCGTAATCCAGTCGATGAACTGTGTGCAATAGTTCAGTACTGTGCTTTGCACTTGGAAATGTGTAGCCTACAAAGCCTTGATGAACTGACGCCCGCTTATTTAGGTTTCCTGCACAACTTACCCACAGCCTTGCTCTGGGTTTACTGCTTGGCCTAGTACATTTTTGTTTTGTAATTTTAGTTGTGTTTTTATTGATGCTCTTGTAAATATGAGTAAAATGCTTTTTATTTCCTACGGCATTTCATAATCTCCTCCCTCATAGCCCAAAATTATCCTATAAATACTTTCCTAAGCCGCCAGGCTTTCCTACTGGCCAGCTCCTTGAGAGCAGGTCTGTGATTTATTCTTTTCTGTATTCCTGTTGACTGAAACAGTGCCTCGCACATAAACTTGTTGAGTTAAGAAATGGGTCCTGAAGTTTATGTACATTTGCAATTGGAATAAAATTAAAATAGGAATGAGTTTAGAAGTGATCATTAATTATATGCCTAATTCTAATTAAATTGTGATAATGTTAGAAATAGTAGCCTGCAATTTAGAAGATGTAGGCTTTGTGTGTTGGATAAATGATTTTTAATAGTCTTTTAATCTTTGTAGTTCTTAGTTTCCTTATGTAAAATGAATGGATTTGGTAGGCTCTTTGCTGCGATCCCTTAGAGCAACAATTCCATCACTTTTAAGTTAACTATAGAGAACTAGGTTTCTTCTGTAAGACTTTGTAAGGTGGGAAGCATACTCCTCTAGTCATCTATAATTTGTGGCACTAACCTTAGTACCTGGTCCAGAGTAGTTTCTCAAGCAGTTTTACCCAATAAAGTAATACATTTCCGCATGGAATTATAATTTTAAATATAGCAAATGAGAAAAAGCTCACGTAGAGTAGTAAATAAAATATGTATAAAACTTAAAACTATATCTGTCAAAGAATAGTTATTTGTAATATGTTAAAAAAACTTCAGAGACTTTTTATTAATTAGTTAAAAAATTCACCAGAAGAAATGCATTCGACATTACCATGTCCCTTGACTACAAGTTAATAATTTATCAGCCTGTACTGTGTTGTACAAGTACATGTTGGTGAATTAAACTGTGCTGTGGGAAATTAGTGGCAGTGTTCTTGAAATTCGTGTATATTCGTGAGAGTATCTTCTTGTTTAAAGAATTGTAAAACTATATTCTATTTCAAGAGGGATTTTTAAAATCATTGATATTTGGAGCTTCAGTCTTTAGGGCAGAGTAAGCATCCTGATCATATCTATGTATCATAAAGCAGAAAACTTATCAGTCCTTTTAAATTATATTTTATAAATATTGTATATAATTTATAAAATGAGGAGCCATCCTCTTTCCAAGGAGTTGCTTGGAGATCAAAATAATCTTACATTTAAACCAAACCTAAACCTTTGAGCTATCAATTTGAATACTTCCAGTGTTCAAATAGGAAAATAGAGGAAGTAATGCAATTGAACTGTTTATGCAAAATTGTGAGTGTGTGTTTTTCCCCACAATAAATCAACTTTACCTTCTGAGTGTTTATTAGTGTTCTGTGTGCTAAGAAGATACAATATTTAATGTAAAAGTTGGTTATGCTTAATGTAAGAATTTCAGCCAGACATCCCTTTACACACACAAAGGTACAGTGATGTCTTAAAGAAAGATAGTGAGTGTGAGTTCTTTTTTTTCATTTGTTGTTTGCATTTGTGTTCTTGAAATTGTTACAGTTCAGCTCTTTTCCATTTGTCCCAGGGACTTTTACAATTATCCAGGGGAAGACCCATGTTTTGGGAGACTACAAAAAAGAACAGATACAAAATATGGTATGAAAGTGAATTTTCTTGAGAATGAGAAACATTCACTACAAATTACAAATCTTAGAAAACTGATAAATCTTCAAATTACAGTGGAATAATCTGTATTAGTTTTGGAGTATATTTTAGTTTTGATTGTTTTCCACCCACATATGTTGGAAGCCTTCAGTACTACACGATACTTTCATCTTGCTAGCTTTGAATTGGTTCTTTTCATTCAGCATTGTGGGCTTTTGAAGTGTTCCTCAAGATGCTCTTTTGGTATTTTAATTTTAAAAGAATTTTCATTTTATATATTTAAGATACATATGATACTTGTGTGTGTGTATATATATGTGTATATATATATATATATATAAACTATAAATAGTGAAATGGTTATATTCAAACAAAGTAATATGTCTGTTACCTTTTTTTAGAAGGTAAGAACACCTAAATACTATTTTCCTAGCAACTTTTCAGTGTGCAACAAAACATTATTACTTGTCGTCCTCATGCTATATATTAGATACTTAGACCTGCTTACCTACCTACCTACCTGTAATTTTGTACTCCTATCTGTAATTTTTCCCATTTCCTCTCCCTCCCTGCCCCTGGTACTTTGCTCTGTGTTTCTACTTGTGTGACTTAAAAATTTTAGCTTCTATGAATGAGATCATTTAGTGTTTCTTTCTTTGCCTTGCTTGTTTCAGACTGCTGACAGTAATTCAAATATTTACAGAAGTGACCGCCTGCCTTGCATGTTACTTTCTCGAAAGGCAGTATCAGGATTTTATGTCTTGAGTAAGGCATGTTGGTGTAGGCCTGCAATCCCAGCACTTAGGAGGCTGAGGCAAGAAGATTGCTGTGAGTTTGAGGCTAGTCTGAGCTACATAGAGAAATCCTGTCTTAAAAACCAAAACCAAAACAAAAAGTATCTCTAAAAAAACTTCCCATCAGCCAGATGTGAGAAATCATCTTGGCCGCTGCAGTCCCATCCAAGTTTCGAGGTTAAGTATCATAAAGGGAAGTCAGACTGGAAAAGGGCAGAAACTTCAATCCATTGAGTTTAAAATATTTTGCTCTTAAAACTTTTACAAAATATAGATGATCTAGGCTTTTAAAGAAGGCTGTTTACCTGATGATCCAGAAGCTTACTTCTGTTTCTTCTGCTTTCAGTTGTGGATTTAGCCTGTTGTAAAGATGTGTACTATTAACACTATGTATGCACTTGTGCAATTCTTGAAGATTTCATTAAAGAAAAAAGTTTAACTGGAGGGTTCTTGATGTCTTTGTAACAGGGTTAAAAGGAGCTGAGTTTCTGTGTTTACGGCTAAGCACACCAATGTCTAGAAGTGACTTCAGCAACTAGTTGAATTGCTGTCTTTTTCTGTTGGCATAAGGTGTTTTCAGTTCTGCACACAGCCCTGAATGCCCCAGTGGTCAGATACCACCTGATGAATAGTTACGCACTGTGTGTTTATAGGCCTGCTAGACACCACTGAACTACTTAGTAACTCAGTTGTTAAAATTACACCTCTTTGTTCTAATCTTCTGGGGCTGCAGAAACAACATGCTAAAACGTTAATTAGAATCTAGGAGACAGCTTTAAATGTGAGTTCAGTGTAGTAAAATAATGTCCAATTGTAAGACTTTCAACATTTCCTCATTTTTGGTCAAAAAAGACCATGGTGTACTGTGCTGCATATCTAGTGGTTAGTGAATTCTGTGAGGCTCTGCACCGTGAAATATACAAGAGACCATGAACACTTTTGGGACTGAAGATAAGTACGCAGGATAGAAAAGCCTGCATAGGAAGAGAAGAAAATAGAGTTGAGTATGCCAAGACAAATATGAATATTTGCATCTCTTTGGAATCTGGAGTTCATAACTTATGGTCATAATTTATATTACAGAAAATGAAAGGAGCATAATTTCTGTTCGTGTCTCATTTTGCTGTGAAAGGAAATAGTATGGTTCATGTAAAAATATTTTATTTTTGTCTTTGTTTTTAGGTAAGACTGTGTCAAAATCCCAAACTCCAGTTGAAAAACAGCCCACCCTATATACTTGATATTTTACCTGATACTTATCAACACTTGCGACTTATATTGAGTAAATATGATGACAACCAAAAGCTTGCCCAACTGAGCGAGAATGAATACTTTAAAATCTACATTGATAGTCTAATGAAAAAGTCAAAACGAGCAATAAGACTTTTTAAAGAAGGCAAGGAGAGGATGTATGAAGAACAATCTCAAGACAGGTAAGGATATTTCAGATTTTAAAAATTAAAGTAATTTATGTTGCCTTTTGCCTCATACTTAACACAAATGTCACCATGTATTTTCTTTCAAGAAAATGTCTTTTGCTTTATTTACTTTTCACTTTAAATTTTACATAAATTTATGATGATGGCTAGTTCATCAGACATTGTTCTTAATTTTCGAATGGACTTTCATTTTAGCGCAGTTTTAAGTTCACGGAAAAATTGCTCAGAACAGAGTTCACTGTACCCAATCATGCTTACAAGCAGTTTCTCCAGTTCACATCCTGCATTACTGTGGTGTGTTAGAGTTGCTGAGCCAAAATCGGTATCAACTGAGGTCTAGAGGTTGAGTTAGGGTTCACTGTTTTTTGTCTGATGGTTCTGTGGTTCAGAAATGTGTAATGTCATCTTATCTATCATGGCAGCATCAGGCAAAACAGTTTATTGTCTAAAAGTGCCATGTGCTTTATCAGTTCATTGTCCCTCATCAGTGCCTCTCACCTCCTGCAGCCCAGCAGCCTCTGTAGTTTGCCTTCTCCAGATGTTACACTGGGATTCACACAGTTTGTAGCTTACTCAGTCTGACTTCTTTTACTCATTGCATGTTTAAGTGTGTTTTCATAGTTTGATAGCTCATTTGTTTATGTCATTGAATAACAACTCCAAGATCATGGTACAGAAATATAATAAGATGTTTATCCTTACAGGCTTTTAGGGGTGGCCAAAGTTATGGAAACCCAGATATTTATTTAAAAGCTTTCTTTTCTTTGTGATCCTATCATTAATCTAGTAAGAGTAGATTTTTTTAGTATGTGTCTGTAGTACTTATTCAGATTTGGTATCTTTGGAGTTCTTGATGACTCTGTCAAGCAATCCATTAAATTTTACTTTGTAAAGTATTGGTACTCTGTAGATTTAGAAATTGAGCGCTCTAAGAACTGGTAAATTTGCATCCAACTTTTACATCTTCCATAGAAATATGAAACATTTTCTAACTCACGTTTTACAATTACCATTGATTTACAGATTTTTTTTTTAGTTTTGTCTCTTTATGAAGCATTTCAGAGAGACTTCTCTAGATGTTGATTGGGTATGGGTTTTCAATAGGCAATGATAGATCATGTAACATTGGCTGATCATGAGATGGCATCTCTGTATAAATTCTTTGTATTCATGTCTTGTCTTAAGTGTTCATGTGAGTTTTGTTTATTTTTTCCTAAATTCAAACTTAAAACAGAAATTGTTAGTTAATTGAATTTTGCTACTATAAATTTTCCAATGGTGTTCTGTAGCCAGCATTTTTAATGCAAAGCTTATGTTAGGTAATTGTGTTAGTTACTTTTCTTGTTGCTGAGACAAAATAAGCAACACCCACAAATTAGGGGAAAAAGATTTATGTATCTCACCATTTGTAGAGGTTTAAGTCCATAATCAGGGCAGGGTGACTTGGCAGACAGGCCTTGCAGAAGAGAAACAATTCATGGTGGACAGAAAACAGTTCAAGCAAGCAAGCAAGCAATACGCCAACAACCATATCTTTTTCTGTCTCTTATGTTTTATTGAGGCTACTTAGGGGTGGATGGCACTCATATCCTTAATCCTAGGACCCTTGATGCTGGCAGATCAGTCACGCACTCTTGATCCAGCCACCTCTGATAAAGCCCCATCTAAGACCACATGAGACTTTGAGGGTCATCTAAGCACAAACCATAACAGTAATTGTCTGATCATAATTCATAATGGTGGACCATTCTTGGTATAAAGTCATAGACTTATAGTTTGTAGCAATATAGTTGTATGTATTCACTTCTGAGTTCCCTCAGGATTCTAAATGCAAACTGGTGATAAAATGTGCTATTACTATAGAGCGCTCATGCATTTTGCTGTGTTGAACTTCTTAGAATGTTCTCATGGTACTTAGGCAGCAGAGTATATTACTGAGTGGAATGACTCTGCTAAACATGTGAGACACACCAGTTATTGGTAATGTTATAAATTCTCTGCATTTTGCAGATAACTCAGTGTTGTTAGTATCATTAAGCTGTTGTCTTTGTAAGTTTCCTGAAGGACAGTGGTAGTAGAAATAGTAATTTGGAGTTCATTGACCAAACCAGCATTGCCTCAAGTGATGTACTTTACTAGGAAAGTTTTGCTGGTTGAGTAGATGAATCAAGATGTTTAATATTACTGCATCTGTGCTGTACCAATATTAAACTTCTTTCTGCATTTATTTCACTATTAAGTGTAAATGGAAAAAAAGTTCAAGTATTCTGAAACTGGCTCTGTTTTAACTTGATTGCTAAAGAATGTTACCCGAATTACTAAAGCTATTCACCATAAAATTAATTTATATTAAATGTAATAAGTAGAAAAATAAAGGTTAAAAAGTAAATGTCACTCATTATATTTCCTAGTTACTCAGGTCCTGTGAAAGGAGTAAGACAGAAATTATAGTGAGATAAATGCTGAAATAGAGATTTAAGGCACAGTGGAAACCTCTGGTCTTGTGCATGGGCAGAGCGATGATTTCCTGTAGAGGAAACGCATCCCCAAGGCCGCATGCCACCTTTGACTGTTAATAATAAACCTCCTTCTCTTGCATCAGTTTTTCCATATGGTTCTTACCTGTTTATTTATTTATTTTTTAAGTTGAACTTCACATTGAATTTGTGCTTCTTTAGCTGAGAGTTTAAAGCATTCTGAGCTGGCATTTCTGAAAACAGTGATTCATTAATTTCTGGCATATACAAAGTTCGTATGTATGGAAGGGTTAATGCGGTAGTGCATATGTGGAAAAGTCTGTTTGATGTACAGGGACAAGGAGAAACTTTATATTATTGATTTTTGGTGGTGAAAGTCAAAATTGGTGTGAAGATAGCTATTGGTGATATTTGAGGTGCCTTTCTTCTGTCATTTGACTGGAAATTTCATCAGGTAACCATTTTAATAGTGAAATTTATTCCTTCATTAGGAAATTATATATCTATCAGGTGCTCAGCAAGGTGTGGTGGTAGACTCCTGGAGGTGATGGTCATAGGTTATTAGAATTTTCAGAGTGGCTTCAGCAAACAGGGACTGTAACTGCCCAGCCCCCCAAGCCCCCAACAGTTAGTTTTACCACTGAAACAAAACCAGAAGTCAGCTGAGGTACAAAAACATACCTCTGCATTTATCTGCGTGCTATCTGTGAAGAAAATGAAGATTTTAAAAATTTATGCTGGAGAGAAAAACATTAATGTTGTCTTACTAGTATCATTTTAAAGCCCCTTGTTCATTCTTTTATTACACCAGTGTTGCAGAAGATAAATTAGCTCCTAAACAAAATGGGGATATATGTGTGTGGGGATGCATGTTTCACTCAGTGGTCTTCATACTGAAGAAGATTTAAGAGAAAATTATGCCATTATAGAAAACAGTCCTTAGAAAAGCCAGCCTTTATTTGAAATTCAAAACAAAACAACAAAGTAAAGCAAAGCAAAACATTTGGCAAAATGTTCTCCTGTGACCTGGCTGAACAAAGAAAGGTCCTTTTCCCCTTAAAGAAAGATACATCATTGGCATGCTGTTCCTACCTGTGTTGTAATTTATACAATGTGAAGCAGAAATGTTTTGGAACTAATATATTGGGATACATAGTTTTTATTAGACAAGAGGAAGGTAATAAGGGAAAGGGCTGTGACGACAGATAATTGGGGAATAGATATGATAAAAAATATGTTTTGTACTTTGAAACTCTCCTTTCCTCAAAAAATGTGGCACTAGCAAGTATGGCTGGCAAGAATCATGACGTGCAGGAATGGTTGAAGTATGTTACATGCATGTATGAATCTGCCAAAATGAAACTCACTGATCTATATAACCAGTGTGTACTAATAAAGGTGTTAAAAAGATAAACTCTTAGATTTATACAACTATTTAAAAACATGAGATGCTCAAATATGAATAATTATGTGTATATATACACACATTCATTTTTATTAAAAAAACAAAATGGCAAAGCACCCTTCCCCCCCCAAAAAAGGAAAAGAAAAAACCCCAGCAGCTATGAAAAGCACAAAACCACAAACAAACCTGTTTGCTTTCTTCATGTCACTGTGTGGACATTATTGCTTTGCACAGAGAATAATGTGGTGTTAATTAAAATGATTAAATCTTGGTAAACACAAATATGTGTTGATTGCATGGTAATCAAAGTGCCATGATTGAAATTCCTCATGGGTTTTCAATTCTTCATATGCAGAGGTTGTCCTGTATATATGACTTGGGCTTTAAAATATAATTTAAATAATTACTAGACCTCATAATTAATGGCCTTGCTTATGCCACATTAAACATCACATTTTCTCATGGTCAGTTTGGCATGTTGTGAGAAAAAGTGCTGCTTAACTCAGTATAAGAATTTGGACCCAAGAAACTTCCGGGTCCATTTCTTCTCCCATTATTCTTTGCAACTTTTGTCAATTTCTTGATTCTGGTTTACACTTTGCAGTTTTGAAGTTACTTTTGGGCTATTCACGTTATTTTCTTCTAAAACATTTCAGCATGATAAAATGAAGATACCATGTTTTCAGATTTAATGTTGCTGTTGGTACATCAGTGTATTTAATGCTTTTTCAAATCTAGTAGTAGTTTCTAGTACAAATACTGTCTTTACTGTCATACTCGTTATTTGGAACTAAATCTTAAGGAGATTTTTGCATGCCTTCTATTTTATGAAATACCTATTATCTAATGATACTCAGAAAATGGTTTATATTCCTTTAAATAATTTTGCAACTTAAAAATTCCTCAAAACCCAGGACTACAGGTTCCATTTGGCTCAGCTATTCCCTTTCTTGGTATCTTCCCAAAAGAATTAAAGGAATCATACTATAGTGAAATATGCATGCTTGTGTTTATTAATAGCTAAAAATAGTCCAAATGCCTATCAACTGATGAAAGAATAGATTTTTTTTTAATACGATGAAGTACTAAACCCTAACAAAGGATAAACTTGA